GAAAGGTGGTGGTGAAATTTTAGCCTGAGCTGTCATGTAGAGAGTTAGTAGTCCTGTTAATCTGATTTCTGCTAATTTGTCCCTCTTAGCCAGTGTGATGTTATTCCTTGTGATACCTTCTGAGGTGTTTTCTGTAGTAATGACAGTTTTTCCAATTTGGAGAGACTGATTTGTTGTGAGACAGATCAAATACATGTTCTGAGCTGGTGGGTTTAGACCTTACTAGCCACATTTAAGTTCCTTTTTTCATGCCCCAATAGTGCTGTACTGGAACTGGTTTGAGCTGCAAGCCATGCATTATCCCCTGTCCCGTCCTTGTTACACGTACTGGGAAGATCTGGGAGCTGCATTTCAGCCATTGAGACTGAACTACCATTACTTCTGGGTTGCAGAGCTGCCTGCTGAAATGAGTCAGGATGGGGATCCCTTCTCCTTCAGTTTTTATTAACGTCGTTTTCTTTTGCTTGGTAACCGAGGCTTTGCATTCTGTTTTTCAGGGAAGATTGACATGGTGAAATCGAAATGGGGCCTGGCACTGGCAGCGGTCGTGACGGTGCTCAGCTCTCTGCTCATGTCTGTGGGGCTGTGCACACTATTTGGTTTGACACCTACTCTTAATGGAGGGTATGTTTCCAGCGCCAAACCTCTTCCTACAGAAGGGCAGATGGAGGTGAAATCATTTGAAAACAGCTGTTAAATGCTTAGTCTTTAAGATTTAGTATTTTTCAAGTAAGTTCACGTGAGATTATTTTACACACTGATGTGCCAAATTATGGGCTGAAGGACTGTGTTTTTGCTGGCCAGCAAATAGACCCGACTGGATCCCAGTCCTGGAGATGCCTTATTGCTTAGGAGTTGGCTCTTTCTGCCTAAAGCAGAAGGAATTGTTGGGACAATGTCCTATTCGTAACCGGACTTCCTGGCAGCTAAGGAGGCTCTCACGTACTTTCCTCCTGCAGTGACTTGTTGCAGCATCCAAAAGGGCTTGTTGCCTGTTCTCGGGCTGACGGTGGTTCATGACATTTTACTCAGAAAAATCTTTAAAGGTGGCAGAGCTGACCTGTGGTATTTGTGCCTGGGAGGCTGCCTGGGTGCCTCTGCACCCACCACTGCGGGTCATCAGCTCTTCTTTAGACTGGGGTTCCTGTGCGTGTTAGAGTTGGCGTTGGGGACTTCTGGTGTGGTTACTACCATGCGTTGTATTTGTGGCAAGCTGAAAACCCCTGAGAAAGCTCTAACTGGCACCTCTCCCACCTGAGTTCTACCCACTGTTCGTTTCTCATTAACTAAAGCTCAGTTCAGAATCTTTCTTTTGATTTGCAGATCCCTTTCCTAAGCCGTTAAGGAAATATCCTTATTTTTCTTCCCATCTCCGCCTCGCAGCTGTACACCGCAGGGACGATGAAGAGTCTGACCCATGAGGGAGACTCCTCAATGCTGGTGATAGTTTACCGGGCGCCATACCTAGATGGAGGAATTCCTCTCCCAGGAGCCTAAACCAGTTATCAATAATTGACTTCAGAAACGGAAGCATTTGTTGTTTCTGGTTTTACTGCTGTGGTGCCTAGGAACCTTAATTACGGATCAAGACCACGTTGTTCTGTGAGCTGTATGAATGCAACAGATAGGATCCACTGGGTGTTTGTAATTTTAATGCAAGAAAAAAGGCAATATTTGGATGCAGATACGTGGGGGGAATCCAAGGGAACAGTTTTGGTTACTGCAATGACCAAGGCCTTTGCATGTAATCAGCCTTATCGTCGTCACACAGAAGGACTAAACTAATCTAGTTATTCCTCCTACAGGATAGAAAGAGTTAATTCAGTCCTTATTTCTAAAAATAGTTTTCCGGCAAATTTCTTTGCCTTGAGATGATTGCATGGACAGTTTCCTTTGGGGTTGAAACTTAATTCTCTCAATACTTTATAAACGATGTCCAGTTAGATGGAAGGCGCTTGGATTCTGTGGTGATGGGGTCCGATGACACTGAGTTTTTTTTTACTTCTGGTGAGTGACCTTTTCCTGATTCCCCAGTGTCCGCCAGAGTGACCCAGTTCCCCACTGGGGACAGAGCATTCTTGGTGTGTCGTACACCAGTGGCAACGTGCTAGGCTTTCGCCTGCTTAGGGTGCAGAGTCTGGTTAAACTTTGATCTGACGTGCAGCCTTTTTTATCCCTTTTGTTTACAGCAGAGCCTTCCGGATGGGAGGGGTGTGTTTGTGATGGTACCTGTGTTAACGATAAGCCTTTTTCCCTCGCTGGTTTTTGTAAGGTATTAAAATAGAGCTTGTTGCTTAGAGATCAGTGTTTGCTCGCTACAGATACGATATATAAACTGGACCTTAATCATTATCAATCAACTTTTATGATGAAGTAAAATGATTATAGGTGAGGTAGGCATTACTCTTATTTCACAGAAAAGAAAACTAAGTGGAAGTAGGTGACGTGATCTATGCAGGGTTCAAGAAAGAATAAGCAGTGAAGTTGAGGAGAATGCCTGGAGTTCACTGGAAGCGGGATTCCTGCGAGCTGGTGGACGGGGAGAGTCCCCAGCCGAGTCCAGAGCACAAGCCACCCGCCCACAAGTTGGCATCTCAGCTAAGTGAGAGGAATCACAGTCTGAAATGATGAACTACTACTCCTTGTTGCCTATAAAAAAAGGCCTAAACCAACTAGCTCAAATGTGACCGTTTGCATTTTAGATAAGAGAGGCTGATGTGATAAATTCTTAAATCTTCCAAACATTTTAGATAAACCAGAGGTCTGTTTTCTTCATGAGTTAACAGTAGTGTTTCTGTTGACTCTCTGGGATGCCGGATCATGCTGTGATGCAGCACCTTCTGGCATCAAAGCGGTAAGTGAAGTGTAAATGTTGGGGTAGATGGACACAATACGGCATCTCCCCTTGCTCTCCCTCTCTCTCAGTGCTTGGCACCACATGGGAGAAAATAGAACGAGGATCTCTCGCCACCTGCCTCGCTCTGAGCGGGGACAAACGAACTTAGGTTGTGGAGTTGCAGGGTGTGAACAGCTTGTGTTTGTCCTGCACAGAGTCGCCTTACTCTTCAAGAAAAGCTGTCTCATTGCTTTTAAACGGCTGGTCATTTAACATGAAAACTGCTGACTCTTCAAGGACTATTGAAACTCGTAACCTGGGACTATTAGTGAATTATCTCCTGCAGGAGAAGCTACGGTTTAAGTAGGACATAGTTGATGAGAGAATGATGAGTTTTTGTTTCCGTATTTGTACTGCCTTCTGAAGGCTTACTGCAGCTTATCTGGAAAGGGTGCTAGACCCCCGCCTGCCTTGCAGGACTGCCTGAGGACAGGACTCTGCAAGAGCGTACCCTTGCAGATGGCACGCTCTGCAGGCCGGCGCTGGGCAGCAGAGCTCTCCCTCATGTTTGCTGCATTCTCTTTGTTTAGCAATTTCCATCCCTAAGGATTACGAAGAGCTTTTCTCGCATCCTTCTCCTGTCCTAAAGTACTGCTCGGAGGAGTGACACAGGTTATGAACTAAAAATGCTTTAGATAAAGGCAGAACTAAATTGTACTTTCTACGTTTTGGATTCTTTGACATTAACAGGAAGTTGCCCACGAGAGGCTTATATATATATTTTGTATTTTTTCGCTGAGGAAATGCACTTCCCGCCCAGGTTTTGGACAGGAGGAGAATGGACCAGCATGTTGCACAGTGGTTAGAGCTAAAATTTGGTTGGGATACCCGGAGAAGGATGCGTGGAGTTTGTTTTTTGGTTTGTGTAATCTTGCTTTCAGTGGAGCTCTTGCTGTTTCAGCTTGCCATTTGCTCAAGGAATCCCCTGGGACGAAGTAGCTGAGTTAGCAGTGGTTCCAGACAGGTGTTTTTCCCCAGCTGAGCTTGCAAGGTACAGGCTGCTGGCAGGTATAGGCGTGCAGATGTTGTTGAAGCCCATGTCGGATGGCCATCGGCGGTCGAGAGCAGCATTTGGGAAGATGGGCCTTGAGGGTTTTGGCAGGCAATGGCAGAAGGTAGGAGGTGTTTGTCTGAAACTTGTTTACCTGTCCTGGCTGTTAGTGATTTGCCAAGGGGCGTGCGTGCACGCGCGCACGTTCTCCTTTTGGATCTGTACGTACCAGCACGGCACAAATCCATTACCCTCCACAATGAAAGCTTTGGTATTCCGCTTACGTTTAGCTGGAGGGAAAGTAAGAGATTTACTGTCTACCATGGACTGGCACGGAGCAGCTTTTTCTCTCTGATCTGGACTGCAAGTAGTTCAAAAGAGAGAAAAAAATTTAGGAGTGAGAAGAAGAGTTGAGTAAAGTCACGGTGGTGACCTTGGGTAGGCTTACTCGTCTGTGTGCGTCCGTTCTGAAGGGCAAACCCATTCCAGTGTGTTCTCTTGACTCCTGGGTAGAAACTATCCCTGGCAGGGTTTAGTTTATTTATGTGCAAAGCATACGTACGTCGCATGTTGTTCTCAGTGTTGTGGCTCCTGAGCTACCTGGTGTGCTGGAGAGCAGAGCTCCGTGCCCGTTAATTTATCTCCTCCCAGCAGCCAAGTCCCTTCATGCGTCTCCTTCGCTGCCCGAGACCGGGTTGCTTACAGCGGCTGCAGGGTGCGGGAGCTTTTGCCCAGTGGGTGTCTGAACCAGACACTGCCCGTGCTCTTCACTTGAGAATTTTCTTTCAGAGTCTTGTTTAATGGAATGCTTAGCTGTGATTTATCAGGATTTTCCCTGTTGATAGTGGGACGTCCTCCCTACCCTCTTGTTGTAATGCGCTCTCGCTGACTAATTATCACTGAGTCTGTCGCGCGGTTGTTGGAAGTCCATCTTTTTGATCTGCACCTCTTTGTACTAGATGCTGTGGAGACTCTTCGAGGACACCCTCCCAGCCCTGAGAAGCATTAAGGCTGATTTCATGGCGGTCTACAATGGCCGTTTTCCAGAAAATCATGCAGCTTTGCAAAAATGTTAATATCTGTGCAAAGCAGATGAAATACAGAACCCTTACCTCGTCACAGAGTAGTATTGTACGAGAAGGGTGAGGGCACTGGGTAGTGTTTCCTGGCCTTGACCCTCGGATGCGTGTTTGCTGCTTGACTTGTGTTTTTCCCTTCTTTTTCACCAAGGATCTCATTCTCCATTCTGGTTCTGTTTCCTCTAGAGAAATATTTCCATACCTGGTTGTAGTGATTGGCCTAGAGAACGTGTTGGTTCTCACCAAGTCGGTCGTCTCGACGCCCGTTGACCTGGAAGTAAAGCTACGCATCGCCCAAGGTACGCAGCCTGCTCTGGAAAAATGTTGAGAGAGAGAAAATTAGGGTAACCGAAGGACGGGGAGGTGGGGAATGATCTTAATTCTGGTCCACGAAGGAATCAAGGACTGTGTGTGTTGAATGTGAATTGGGAATTGTATTCTATTCGTCTTTTTGTACTGTTTTTGATAATTCCAAGAACTAATATAAGCCTGTAATTGTGGGCATTGCTTTTTAAGATTGTCGTCTGAAGCGTTGGCTAAACGAGTTTAAAATTGTGTTAGTAAGGGAGAGCTGTATCTCCTGGTACAGGTATTTAGCACCTTGTCCTTTCGTGTCGTGAATATTGTAAGTGCAGTCCGCAGGTCATAGGAAGTTCTGCTGAGTCTGTGACAAAACTGTCCTCTCTATTATATAAACACTCTGCACCTGCATAAGGATTTGAGTGTGCTCAAACCATGGATAAATGGAGTTTGCAAACTTAAAAGATGTTTCTAAACATCAGGGAAGAGAGATTCTAGAGTGATGCCTAGAAAAATTACCTAGTTTTAAAAATACAAGTGGTTTGTATCCTAGATCGAAAACAGGACTCAAAAACTCAAACTTTACACTGCTGAATCCCTGTATTGCCCTGCGCAGCACCCGCCGACTGCTTAAATCAGGACAGTTTTGTGAGCCGAGAGAGTCATCCTGAGCTCCCTTCGTAGTTGATGATAATCCCGCTGACAAAGACACTGGGAGCCTACAGTCCAATTATTTGACTTAGATATTCCAAATGGGGCAGATGAATTTTAGCCTGCAGGTGCATTTTTGGGCCATTGTCTATAGATGCCTAATTTTAAAGAAGGGAAATCCAGTTCCTTTTTGCTATGCTCCTGTCTGTCCACAAGTGAACAGTCTCATTTGACGGATCTTTGCGTGTTCTTTCTCCAGGCTTGAGCAATGAGAGCTGGTCGATTATGAAGAATATGGCGACAGAGCTTGGGATCATCTTGATCGGGTACTTCACCCTTGTCCCAGCCATCCAGGTGAGCGTGGCTGATGGGTTTGAGTCTGCAGGACGGAGGCTTGTAGGCACTGCAGGAAAGCAGGGTGCAGG